TCCCGAAGGACCAGAAACAATATGACAACAAAGTTATTTACATACTACAATTTATAATCTTATGTCTTCTATCAACAATGTCAAATTTTCTTTTAAATTTTCCAAATTATTAGTTTTATGATAAAAATTTGCATGATTGTGAAATATTTATTTATCACAAAGTATTCAATGTGTGTAATAATGTACATTACAATCAGGAAGTCAAAACGTTATTGGTATACAGTATTCTGTGTTGTTAAAATTTGAAAGTATAAATAAGCATTTGATGAAATTTACATCTGTCATCCAGAGATACTTCGCCTGGGCAAACTTGGACTTTTGTATTGTCATCTGTTTTAACAAAGCCTGTCTGAAAAATATATGACTAAAGTGTTTATAAACAAGAGTATGTGTAGAAGTAAATCTAAATAAAATGGCTTATGCGATACTAGTAATGTCTTGCTGTATTGTCTTTAAAATAAAAAAGTAATGTACTTAAATCTGTCATTTTGATGTATCAAATTTCCAATCTAACATTTCTTTAAGAATTCTGCCAATTGTTTTAAAGCTTTTGGCCAAAGCATAAGACATACGAGGGACGGTCAGAAAATATCTAGACTTTTCATGCTCCTCTCTTTCCACGTGCAGCTATATACACACATTATATATACTTTTATTATACAATAACGTGGTCAGTTTATTTTCAAAGAAAGTTGTGTATACACAGTATTTTGCCCTGTGATATATGATAGGTGTTTCGATCAAAAGGCAACCAGAGTAACCAATGCAAAAGAACATTTAAGTCGTTTTAATCGTGAAGGAGATAAGTTTTTGAACCGCATTATCACTGGAGATGAGATGTGGGTTCATTATTCCGAACCTGAGACAAAAGCTCAGTCAAAGCAGTGGAAACGAGCTGGTTCCCAACCTCCTAAAAAGTTTAAGCTGTCTCCTTCGGCTGGCAAAGTCATGCTTGTTGCCTTCTTGGATTCACGAGGAATGATACTTACTCATTTCATGCCAAAAGGTCAAACTGTCACCGCCAAGTACTATTCTGAAGTAATTCTGAAAAATCTCAGAGAAAAGCTGAAGCAAATGCGTCCCCAGAAAAATGTCACCCTTCACGATAACACCCTCCCATACCGCAGCAGCTACAGTGGAGGTTACCAACTCTTACAAATGGCAATTGGCAATCTCACCCTCCTTATAGCCCAGACCTAGCCCCCTGTTACTTTTATTTGTTTCCAGAACTGGGGGAAAGAAATATTAGACCAGGGCGGCTTTGATATCTGCTGTTACACAGAACCTAAAACATAGGTTTACGTCATGGTTCACAGCGGGAGTACAAAAGCTCCCACGAAGATGGCAAAAGTGCGTAGACGTAGGTGGAGAATATTTTGAAAGAGGGAAGAAATGTTTTTTTTAAATGTTGAATGGTTTTCGAGGACGAGTCAAAAGTCCGGATATTTTCATACTTCCCCTCGTACGCTGCATCTCATGTGCAAGGTTTTAAAGATCATCGACGTATGTTCACATTTGCAAATGTGTTTTGATCCAAAATAAACATATCTGTTAAATTGCGATTTTGAATGTCAAAACGGGCCTGAATTATTAAGAATGACTATATGATGTTGACCTTTCATATCACAAAGCTATAAAATAACAATGCATAATTACAGGTGAATTTTACATAATACGCGTTGTAAAGGTCAAAAACAAATGCACATACCTGGTGTTCATATGCAATCACTGTCCACTCTGCCGGTGCTAAAGACTTGCTTAAAGTTGGTTTACAGTCAAACTCGTACATGTAGCCAATTGGTTGGCTTTGTTCTGAGGCCTACATATAAGAAAAATTATTTAAGTTTTCGAAACCTATTGTATAATAAGTCTAATGTGAGGAAGAAAATAATTATGTACATGATATTTTAGTTGTTGTTACTACTAATATTATTTATTATTAAAATTGTGCTTCAAATGTGTTCTTTTAAATGTTTCTGTTGTTCTCTATTGGAACTGTTTGAACTCGTTATTTTCAATCATATATTGACCACGTCTTCATTGTCCTAAGTAGAAAGTCAATTTGTACGTTTGTTTACATGCGCGTTATTGGCACAGTCGTTCTGTGGCTTACTTGACAACTACTCATCCATCTATAAACATATGAAGTACACGTAATGGCATATTCATATTGTTGAAAAACATAAAAAATTGTATACTTACCGATGCCAGGACACTTTTTTCCACATTGTAATTACATAAACAATCAAAATCCGCCCTAACGTATGCACTTATCAAAGACAGATAAATAAAAATAATTAAAATCATTATGGTTACTCAAAGTCACTTTAAAACAGTTATGAATGTAAAATATTACTAGTTGACATAAAAATAGGAAAATGTGCATACAATGTCGTGAATTTTGAAATTTTACAGGTTTAAACTGGCCTTATCTATTTTTGTTGAAACATAAACGTAAATGAAAATAACTCAATGATGGATAAATTATAGATAAGATCAAAATAAGACATGACTTACACGTATTTGACACATATATATTCCCTAAGTTATCTTAATATGGCTCTTTCACTGAGAATACATTTTATTTACGATCCAACCAGGATCTTTTTTTTAAAATATTAACCTGTATACATGTGCTATGTACTCGTATTATTCCACTACCTTATACAACTTAAGTCTTTCCAACAACAGAATCAAAGTTATTATAAAACAACACCAATACTTTTCTTATACACTTACGTATATACAAAGTCATGGAACACCGTTTTATGATTTTTACTGACCAGAAAATAGTTTAATCTTTAATCTGAGAAAAATAGAATGATGTCCCTTTGTCAGCAGAACAAAAATGCGAAGATAAAAATCAGGTTCAACTACAATTTTCTACAATTTTATTCGCTGCAAAAACGTGAAATTTGTTGTACACAAAAATATTCTGATACATATAAAATGTGAGTACGAATATAACAAATGGTAGATTTTTATGACTGATAAAGGTTTTTTCCCACTGCACAAGCATGAAATTGTAAATGTTCTTCAATAATTTTGCAACATTACTCTTCTTCTGTCAATGTACCAACAACAAAGGGGCCCAACTTTTTGGGTTACGGGCCTACAAAAAAGTTCACTGACGTGGTTATCCGTCAAAGGAAAACAAATGGTAAGTCGTGCGACATTCATACCAGCATAATGCCATCTATATAATAATTTCTGGGTAGTTCCGGTACATTATTTTAATTCTGCAAGCTGTCTCTTAACGAAATAGCGTTCTGGAAACAATTGCAATTGGCGTTAAGCACAATATATCTGTCTTATGCCTGCGTTATACACATAGAACGTTAACCGTCGTGTAATTGTGCTACAATTTCTTCGATTTGGAATCGAATCATTATTCGTTGAACAAAATGGTGGGAAACATTCAATATACTGGCAACCTGAATCTGAAACATGACTGTCCGGAATATACTCACCCCTTTATTCATCTCGTCAGTTGTAAGCCGCCTTCTTATATTTTGATTTATCGTATTGAATGCTTCCACAATCGCTGAATTGCAAATATTAAACAACAGCATAGGTTTATACATGCAGTATACATGTCGTCTAAATCAAGCTACAAAGGCGATAGCACACAAAACAGGGCGTTAAAGGCCTTTATATTTGAACTTGTTCTTGTTCAGAGACGATCTCTGGAAGAATTTTGTTCCTGAACCAGTTGGCCACATATATAAGGAATTTTTATAAATATTTTACTGTGCAATAGTATAAAGAAGAATATAATTATATCATATCAAAAGTTACAGGGATATGGAACAAGTAAACAAACTATCACTCTTTTGCGACACGATGCTACATAAACAAATAGTTTTTATTGATAATTGCATTTGGCAAATAAAGTTAACTCGTAATGTCGTAGAACGGTTTTAGAACTGTATGCACATATCGGCATTATCCCATTGGAAATGAATCTGTCTTACAAGTCTTGAAACTATCAAACATAGTACGTATTCCGGTTATTTTTAGTCATTTTAGGTACATGTATTTGAGTTAAAATATTTTATGATTCCTTATTTGCCTATGTTATTGACGTATTGTTTGACGTTGTCAGTCAACTGTGAAGTTTCGGGGTTTGTATGCTCCTAATCTGTACTGAGTCGCAATTTGTGAACCTATTTTTGTTTTGTGTTGATGGCACATGCTTTAAACAGTAAAAGATTATTTGCAATTGTGATACAGAAGAACTGATATAATCGTTATATCATTATGATATTTCAATCGATGTACGCTTAAAATGTCATATTTTGTTCGACGCTTAAAACATCATATTTAGTTGAAATACCAATACAACAAATTGACGTGGAAAACATAGAAACAAAGACAACATTGCAAGTAGGACAATGATTTTATTAACATGTCGCTAGATGACATATTGTTTCCTTCTGAGCCTATTTTACCCAAGAGCTTTTTGAATTTTCGGCAATCGCAAAATTTTTAAAAATCATTAATCAATTTTTACGAAGAAAAATTAAATGTTAACGAAATATGATAAATAATTAAAAACCAAAAAACCAAGGTTTGTCGATTTCGAACTTTTAATCTTTCAAGAAAACCTTTAAAATTGTTTGCGTTTCTTAAACGGGGGAAAATTTTTCGTTTGTTGGCGGCTTTTTAACAGGTGTATTTTTATCATATCCATTATAAAATCATACCCCTTACAAACCCCTTTTTCCCTAGCCTTTCGCCAAGTTGGTACGGAGCAAAAGCGACAATCTGCTTTTCATGCGATTGAATCAGATTCGGCATCTTATACTCATTTTTAAAGCAGAAATTGCATACTTGAAAGGGAAAAGAACTGATGAACACTGTATGTACAACAAATTGTGTCAGTACAGCAAAACCCTAAATTACTAAACTAAGTATTTTTGTTTACTTTTGATTAATTTATTGCACAGAGCCACGTTCAAAAACAATACTACAAAATCATTTTATGAATCGAAATCCAATTATCTTTCAAATGACATACCATATTGACAAATTACAGGATGAACTTCTCCGAGGTCATGGTCGATGAGCTTGATGCTTTCCCCACAGTGAATGTCATCCCATTTGCCATCTTTATACGGTACAAATGCAACACAATCTTCGTAACCATGTGCGCCAAAATTATTCAAATGATCAGGGACCCAATTTGTGTAACTAACACTGCTTCCTGTTATGAAGTATAGTTATAGTTTGTTATTGCATCATCTCATAATTAATGTTTGCTGTCATACGTATGCCTATATAAAAGATTCAATATTTTAGATGTGATGGTCGAAAAGTACGTTGAATGTCTCAATGCCTTATTCAAAGGGTGTCCAGGTAAATATTTTACAGTGCACTTACATCTACATTGTATTATGTGACGTGCGAATGTTATGGGGCAACAGTAACAACACGTATCAAGTAAACACATTTAAGGTTACCCACCGCAAAATATGATAAACAAGATCAACAAGTAAAGGCGGCGACAAAAAGGCTCAACTACATGTATTGCATAGCATAGTAAATCTCTACTTCAATCACTGATCTTAAACGTCTATCTTCTATTCGAATATCACAGGTCAGATAAATTGTGATTTATCGATCATAACAGTAGGTATGCTTATCCAGTGCAAGCCTCCCAAAACAAAGGCTCCACAATTACATAGTATATATCTTTACTTTTATGATCATGTATATCTGCTACTCACAGGTCGATAAATCGTGTCTTAACAATACAGAGATTCACTCACCACGTTTCTAAATTTATCATACCTGACGTCCATTCGAAATGGTTTTCTATTTTTGTGTCATGAAGACCAATCCAGACCGCATGTCTTGAGGAATAGCGACTTAAGAAATGATGCACAAAGCCTTGCTCGTCTGCATCAATGATATATGCAAGGTGACCTCCCCGCTGTACACACACCTGTTCTCCATGTGACCAGCTTACTCGAATATTTGGTATCAGCTCATAACAACTGGATTTATATTGTCCAAGTACTGTATTATCTTTCATTGATGCAGATTGGACGTTTGCTGGGCATTGAGTAGTATTCCCTGGTATAAAGGTTTCAAACAAAATGTGTAACATGTTAAATAGATCGGGTACGGGTAAGCCCTGTCCTTTATTATTCAGTGGTATATTACATGGGCTAGTAAACATTATTTTATTATGTAATTGTGCTATCTTTTGGACGTTATTCCGTCTTTCAAGGCGTTGATCTCGATTTAACATTTTAATATTTTGATTCAATTGTTGGCGTTTATTTTCTATAAAGGTATAAAAATGCATTACAATAAACAGATAAAATTTAATAGATATTATTTTCTACATATTTTCTACGTTTGAAACGGCCAATTGTAAATTGGTATGAAGTTATAGGTCTAAACGTTCTTGAAAGGAATATATTTCAACATTACAGTTATTATATTGGATAGATATGTGGAGATATGACCGTACCATCTGAGTATATTGACGACTGTGATGTTGTTATCATCTGCCAATTAGTGTCGTTGGCGTTCCCAATCACTGCTTCTGTAACAAGCATGGAGAGGGCATTATAATGGTGATTGTCATGTTCAAACTTACTGGATATATATTGCACAAGTAGTACATTTTCAGAGTAATCATGTTGTGTTCCCTTAATTAACAGGTAGGTTCGTATTTATTTTTGTCGTTTATATTTATTTTTATTTCCCATTTCAAGAAATTTTTATCGATTCCGTTATATTTTAACATATCATAAGCTAGAACTCTCCAAATAGGGAAAGACGGATAAAGATAAACTTCCCCTTTACCCTTAAAAAGGTTTTATGTAAATGAATAGGTACCGAGCCGTTAAAGTAGCGCACCAAAATTTAGGGTAGCGCAACCTGTATTCATTTGTTTTGGGTAAATAAATATCTTCAAATCAGCTATATGGAAATATGAATACACTTACTATATTCACAGACATACGCATGTCTCAGTGAACAATCCATATCCTCCCATGTCCCAGTATTCGGACCCAATGCGACGCAGTCCTCTATATCATGAGAAAGAGGACTCTTCCGGCCTGGGTACCAATTTAAATACACAACAGGTTTACCTATAAAAAATAATTATAAAACATATAATTTTTGAAATACCGAATAAGGAGTTATGTATAGGTTTTGTTTATTATATCTTTAATGATTCTCATTCAGAAATAATTATCATTGAAATCAATAAAAGCATCCACAGCTTATTCATTTATACCTTTATAAGCGCCAATATACAATTTCTTCAAACCTGTAGTATTCCCAATTATTGTAACAAATAAAATGAGTAATGAAGGGAAATGAAAATAGTCATTACATCTCCCTTACACATTTCATACAAATAAAAAGCATAAAACATGAAAATATAGATAAACAACCTTTACGAAAAGCAGCCACAATAATATCATAAAGCAACGGCACCCAAATAGGTACCAAAAGGGGTAAGAACTGGCTTGTTTCATGATGTTTTTTATTGCAATGACTGCGTTAGAAGAAGATAGGTGATAGGTTACGGACATCCAAGTTATCTTAAATTTGAAAATATCTTATCCACCACTTCACGTATTTTAACAATATTTAGAATGAGAAAAGTTTTAAAGCCCACACACTATAAAGCATTGTTAATTTGTGTTGGATATATATCGTTTTCAGCAGGTTAATTGATATGCTAGAATGCAATGTATAGACTTATACAATATACTCATATTCTTTCAAAAAGCAATACTGTTTTAACACTATATATATGTTAAATGATAAAGATTAAAACCACGAGTACGTACGTACCAGATGTCCACATAAATTTCTCTTCTGTCTTCACATCATTCAAACCAATCCATGTTTCATGTCCATATGAACGGACGTATTGATATACTTCTTGCTCGTCCGTGGCGCTTGATATAGTGACGAGATGACCACCTTTAACTTTACAAGCATTGTCCGCACTTGCCCATGTTTCTGGCTGTATCATCATTTCGTAACACATTTTTAATTTGTTATTTATGAAAAGCATGGTATTTTCCTGTGATGCGCTTTTTGGATAGATGATGGACACACATAAACTGGGGCTATTGGATATACAGAAAAATAAATAACAACCATTGTAAAGCATTACGGTACAGAAAATCAATTTCCTAAGTTCAATTAACATTAATTTTGAAAACATCCGGCTTAACATTCAAAAGCACAAAGCAATTGTTTGTTTGTTTCTGGGTTTTACGTCACATCGACACAGTATATGTCATATCGCGACGTTCCAGCTTTACTGGTTGAGGAAGACCTCAGGTGCCCTTCCGTGCATTATTTCAGGCACGAACGGGCACCTGAGTAGAATCACTGACGTTCCGTAAGCTAGCTGGCTAGCTTCCTTACATGAAAGAATCCAAAGTCCCTGTCGGGATTCGAACCCACAGCGATGAGGGACAAGTGGTTTGAATTCAACGACCTTAACCACTTGGCCACGGCACAAAGCAATAAAATAGTAATAATAAAAAAACTAAAAATAAATGAATGCTACCGTTCACGCCGCTTATCACCGTACAGACTTAGTAGTATTCAACATGTAAACATGACAATGGTGAAATTTGGAATAAAGACACATCTGCAGATATGTTAATGCGGTCGTTATCCTGGCGTCTTCAATGTGAAACTTTCGTGCAATTCCATGAAAAGCGGCATCTGACTTTCAAGAAAAAAGAATGTGTGTGGCCTAAACGAGAACACAATGAGCGAAACAATAAATAAATAAATAAATAAAGCCGGTGGTAGGGACCTGGAAGGTAGTTTCCACTAATTACTGCCGCCAAAGGACAGACGCAATCATTTCATTTTTGCCGTTTGGCGTATTCTTAAGGGTTTCGGTTTCTGTATTTTGAAAATTGTTTTGTTTTCTTTCTACTGGTAATACTACTATATACCTGGTGTAGTCGGTTTTGTTGTTGTAGTCAATTTTGTTGTTGTCGTTGTTGGCCGTGTTGTTGTTGTTGTTGGTTGTGGTGTTGTTGGGAGCTGTGTAGTGGATGTCGTTACATCTGTACTGTTAGTCGATGACACTTGTGTACAAAAAAGAGGTCTAATCATCTGATAACATGGTAAAGACCATACAAATGGATATTTCTAATGTTTATTATCATGATACGATGTAAAATCATTACCAATTACTTCAAAATCAGTATTATTCGTGGAGGTTTTTTTCGTGGTTTTCGTGGACAGGTCAAATGATTCACGAAATCAAGATCCAAGTTGAACGGAATTTCATTTCGTTTACTGTAACATTATTTTGCATTTCAATTTTGTTCGAAAAAAGACAATCTGCGAATTTAAGAACCCAAGGAAATGTCCTTTGTGACAGATCCACAAATTTCAGGCCAACGAACTTGAGTGATTTACCAGTAATTGTTTAAATAATACAAATCATTATGTGACTATGTGACAACATCGATGTACTGCATATGAATGTGAATAAATGGAAAAAGATGGCACGTCGTTCAAAACTTATAGCATCATTGAAAGCCTGTCCATATTCCATATTTGTTGTTTGTTCGACAAAGTATAAATGCATATTATGTCCAAAGTCGTGATGCTAATTTCACTGAATGGCAATTATAGGTTTTGAATGATGCATCATTTGGTACACAAATTAACTGCACATATGCATCACCAAAATAGTTTGTTAAATGTTATTGTTATCGAATCATAGTTAACTTTGAATCCTATACAGATATGAAGACGTGCACGTGATGAAGATTACAGTTTGTTATCGTATATGAAATACTTAATCATGAATTATGAAAAAAGGATATTACGTTGACGTTTATGTTTTATATAAATGCCAATTTGTTCTATATTTGATCATTGTAAATATTTTGCAAATACTTTCTTTAAGTTAATGTTTTAAATATAAATATTTACATATGTCTGTAGACAACTTCCTCTTGACACACTTCTATTTTTGTCTGAGGATCCCTTAGAACATATCCTTTCTGAAACAAAATAATATTGAATGTTCATACACATTGTGTATGCTTGCAATTAGAAATAAGCCGCGTCATGACAAATCCAACATAGTGCGTGTGCGCTCAGCATGGATACAGACCATACAAACTGTATTACAAGGAAAGTAACTGAAAGCGAACAGCATGGATCCTGATCAGACTGCGCGGATGCGCAGGCTGGTCTGGATCAATGCTGGTCGCAAACGCACTTTGTTGGTTTTGTCATGACGCTGCTCAAATAAGTATCGGTGGCAAAAAGTTGATAAGTGGGTTGGAGAATTGACATGCTTTACGACTTTGAGCACTTATTAGTTGTTACATCGGCTAACATTGTTGTAGGACACACGATGAAAGGAATCGTTCTTATAATTTTAAGTTTTGTTTTTTCCTCACAAAATAAGCTTACACCTTTCCCGTTTTTTTTTTTTTTTTTTTTTTTTTTTTTTTTTTTTTTTGTTGTTTTTTTTTTTTTTTTTTTTTTTTTTTTAGTGTGGGGTGTTTCTTTTTTGTGGGGATTGTTGGCTTTTTTTCTTTTATATATTTAAAACTTGAAAGATTGCCAAAGCATCTTATTTAGAAAGCGTTCAGTTTCTAATCTGGATACAATAATTGTAAGTGTCGTCTTAATGAATCCGTGTTGGTGGCCATTCATAACTGATACTACAATACAACGGCTTATAATATCATCGAATCATCAGGCATTTTGAAACATATGAAAATATTTTGCGCTTAAACAGAATCTGAAAAAAATGTAAAAGATGACAATTCAATTATTTTATCAATATATTTTTAAAATATATTCGTATATATACATGCTATGAAAATGCCTGTTTAACTGATGTATAATATCAAACTGACAACTTTATGCTGTTTATTAACACAATATCATTCTAATTACCGAAATAAAGCACACATTACAAAGAACGAAATAATATAAATCATGAATCAAGTGATATGCATCTGCAAATTCGTATGGAATAAAAATAGAAGGAAAACATATGCTAGATATATAGCAAGAGCAAAAGCAAGAGGACGGGTAGGGTGGAGTAGGGTAGGTAGGTATAGGCATGGATGCATGCAGGCAAACAGGTAGGTAGGTAGCAGAAGGCAGGCAGGCAAATTTCTTATTACTGTGACATGTGCATAGTCAATTAAAAATACCAATCTTATATGTGTACAATTATAGCACCGGCCCGATGATTTTATAAGTCTTTAATTTATACTTAAGATATAAAGATACACTGCATTTATTTAAAATATAAATGTAGGGAGAGAATGAGTTGCTAGGAAAACACCTTTTTAATTTATCATACTGAAAAATTGCTACTATTGTTTGTGTAAGCATATTATCTTAACACACAAGAAAATCATGGGCAAGGTGAAAAAAAGGTTGCAACTCGTAAGAAGAAGGATATAGTTTGTCCAAAAAGATTTTTGTTGTTTACCTGATGTTCAAATGCAACAGTTGACCAACCGGATGGTAGACTTGTTTCGGTAACAATGGGTTTACAGTCTAATTTATAAAGATACCCAATAGCCTTGCCATTCTCTGATGTCTGTAATTAAAAAAAAAAACTTTGAATATACCAGGTACTATATACCAGTCATGGTACAAAGAAAACACCAGTCTGCCACAGCATCGGGAAGACGAGGACTACATTAAAGTTTCTGAAAGCGCTCAGCTTACGTGTTTTTTTCTTGCTCACGGTCATGTCGGTGCTTTATTGGTCATAAAAAACGCCGAGTATAATCCTTATATATATCAACGGTCCATTGAGCAAATTTGAAAATGTTCAACTAAAAAATCGATCCATTTGTTTCTAGATTTTACAAATGTCTTTTTGTAATACTCGATTAGTTAAAAGTGTTCTTATCATGCAGAACTATTATCAGTGCTTAATAATGGCATAGAAAACTTTTTTATATCGGAAAGAACCGGCAAAAGGATGGCAAAAAGCTTTTAGTCTAACGAATGTCGCAGCGGATTCAAACAGCCTACGGCCGAAAAACAAACAATACATACCGTTTGAAAGACCCCTTTATCTATGTTATAGTTGCACACACATTTAAAATCTACTTTTTGAAAAGCATAGGCGAGATAGGTTGCTGTTCCACCAGGGTTTACTAACATTTCTGTTCTTGTTAGAGATACCAAAATCAATTTTAATACATTTAGAAGATAATTTGTCATACATCTCATTCTTTAAAATATTTCAAAGGCTAGAATAAGCATCTTAAATATAACTCTGACTCTGTTAACTTTATTCAAGTTTAGAAACTGTATCATGAAGTGACGAAATTACATCATGAGTGTTTAAAAATTATCTTGTAAACTTTTTAAATCAAACTTATCAAAACTAACTGCTTCACATACAGGTTGTAAAACTTTTCACTATAATTATCAAATTCAACCATCCATGTTAATATAGAGTGGTCTGGTATGGATACAGGCATAAAGCCATTATTTACTTGAATGTTTGAAATAATTTCAGTACTTCTAATAACTGTGAAATTTTTAAAATGGTTCAAACTATCATGTGCAACTTTACAATAATCAACAACTGCACATCCTTTAGTAGATATTGATGTAAAATCATCCTTTATATAAATTTCGAACATTCAATAAACACATGTTACTATCTATCAGGAAATCTAATAACTTGTCACAATAAGCGTTACAAAAAAAAAAACATCAACAATATCTCTGTCTGGCAAATCGTCAGCCCAAATAATAAAATCACAATTGTCACCATACGACTATTAAAATCTCCACAAATATATAATAGACAATCATTTTGATATACATATATACTAGATAATAGGGTATCATAACAATAACTAACATCAATTTGTTTAGAAGAGTTATAAGGTGGCAGATAGCGTACGCATGTATAAGATTTTAACCCTGAAAATTCATCAGAAAATTTTAACTATAATATGCCTTCAAAACTGCTATAAATAATTTCTTTATCATAAAAATCAAACAGTTCCATTTTAATTAAAACTCCAACGCTCGACCTTGCATTTATATGTAAAGATTTACGATTATTACCAAACCAAACAAACCCTGGTAATTCAATAATATCATTATTACACAAATGAGTCTCAGCAATGCCTAAAATGTCAACATTTAAAAACTGAACACATTCACTTCTTAAAATAAAATTGTCACTGTCTTTAACGGTACTCCACCCATTAAAATTCCAGAAACCGGAAGTAACCTTTCTTCTTCCTCCTCGTCCTTGCCCTCCATATCCTTGACCTTGACCCATTTGACCTCCATGTCCTTGTCCTCTGTTACTTTTCCCACGATCTTGCTGACCCCAGTTCCCCTGACCTCTATAAATAGAACCCGCGTTGCCCTGTGAAGCACTATTCGAAGGTAATTGATTATTGCCTGCTTGATTGGTACTGTTATTCTGAGTGTGGGTGCCTGTTTGATAGGTAGTGATGGAAATCGGATGGTATTTGTCCCAATCGATCATCGGTTCAATCGGATGGGACATAATCGATAACTTTTCGAATAAAGTCGCGTTAAAAAGAAATAAGAAAGAAACATTTCTTCCCAAGGCACTTTATTATATTCAGTAACGTGAACTTCAATTAGCACTTTTCAACACAGTTTAAACCTTATATAGTCATAATTTTACGAAAAAGCTTTTATTTTCCAATGGATGTCAAATAATAACATTGACATCACATTGTATAACTATTGTTTACATCACGTATTGGTCCTGTTCAACTCCAAATTGTCTCTGAGATATTTTCTTTGCGATCGGTAAGGTGTTCCTAAAAGGAAATTACCGTCAGAATTAATTCCCTTTGATACTTTAAACATTTTCGACGACGTCGCGGAACAAATTTTTGTGAATCGATTATTGTCGCTTTACATAACAGTAACTGATTATCGACGACATGCGACAATCGGAACATCACTATTGATAGGTATTATTATCCTGAGTTAGTGACTCATCATAGCTAGAAAAATTTCTATTAGCACTAAATACTCAGCTAGTATGAAGACTTCCTTTATTCACTGCATTCACCATTGCTCGTAAAATATTGAATTCAAGGCGTTCAATTTCGACTGATCTGCATGGATAAACAGGTCTTTATATACGGTTTTCTGGAGTTTTTTCTTCACTTGTAATAATAGTCTTGTCAGAGAAGCCTCCTTTCTCACATTCGCGATTTAGGCTGATGTGACTGGAAGCTATTTTAATGCTTATTCACACAAGGCTTTAGCCAGTTCGTCAGAGATTATGACAAGCTGCGTGTTAAATTACGAAATGAATAGTTATGTGTTATATTTATAAATAACTGCACAGTAAAATGTTAAAAAAGGTGTAAATTTTAAAATTCATCGACTAACAGTACTGATTTGCTCCGGCAAATTCTTACAAGTTAGCGTAATAATTTTCTCTAATTTTTTATGTAAACGAAGAAAACTTATAATTGATTTTACAACTAGTACAAATTATAACGGAGGTAGCAATTCCTGCCATACAAAGTACTAGCATTAGATATTATAACTATATATTGTGTATATTGCAGTAAAATCTACATCATCTGCTGGACCGGCGAACGTAAGCATGCTGTGCAGCTTCGTGAAAAAGTTAATGGGAAACTCCGGGTGGAACTGTTCTTCCTGAGCAAACGAGTGTGGTTTTAAGTTAAATAATGCTATGAAATATATATTTGAATAAGGCAACAGTCTAGAAAGGTAGGTATAGTAAAGATTAAAAGAAGCAGTTAACATTTATGTTGAAGTAAGCAAGTGTGTCACTGCATTGCCTCACAGAACAGATAACATATCAAGCACGTTATGAAGCTTAACGTGAATATAATATAGCTGTATGTCATATCAAACTGTACTTCTTGATAGAAAGGGTGTTGCATATTATGACCTAAGCAAAATATATAGATCTTTATTGTTCTATAAGTTAAATAAGCAAGGAAAACTTTTAATATTTGTGCTAAGAAATACAAATATAAGTGACTTATTCTAAATGTATCACACGAAAATATGTTGAAAGTATATTTTTAAAAGTATTAATAGCAACGCTGACTACATCATGACAATACATGTATATGTATAATATCTTAAATAGTTTTCAGTGTATGTATATTTTGAAAATATTTGCAATATTGCTATTATTTCGTGTTGTATGTTATTCATAAAGATATATAGTGAAATATATGTGTCGGACAAATCTGATTTTATCATTTTACACTTAAAAAGATTATATCATTAAATAAATAAAATCAAGGTCTTATCATTCACATATTAAGTGTAAAATGTTTGATATAATCACAAGAGCTAAAAAAATCACTGCATCATGTCTTGCAAGTTTATTAAACTCAATGTGCACCGTGTCTTGCAATTACAAGCACATTTTACTTCCTATCACTGTTTCAGTACCTGTCGTGGTAACTTATATATTTCAACTTGAATCTTTCATGCGATAACAGGAAGTAGACTTGTTATACACTGTGCGTTTTTACATAAAACAATGTAATGTTTGTAGCTACTATTTGATGTACTATAATGAATATACCGGTATATCTGGCAATTATTGTGAGTGAAAGTATAAAATATATTCCATTGTGCATTTGAAATTTTGTCTGCGTTTTGCCTTTCATATAGTTTCACATTTTCCCAAATGCAGGTAAATAATTAATATAAACACAACTAAGCGCCATATGATATTTTTATTTTTCCATTAACATGCGGTACAAATATGAACACTGTGGGTACTAAAATGTTTTTAATTTCAAAAAGACTCAAATGAAAACAAACTCAAGTCAATGAGACAAACTTTATATTTCTATAAAAAAAATCTGTACAAGTTTTAAGTTCTGCAAATGTTATACTTAATATTATCCAACAACTATTTGAGAAGAATCGATGTCTGAAAAAGAATGACAAAATTAAAAGATCAAAAACAACCTGATATCTCTAGATTTTAACAACATACATTTCTTTTTGTCAAGGAACCAAATTTTATCTAACAATATTTCATACAAGCTATCGTTATAAAGATGTTAAGACAAAGATATTTCAATTTATAAGTTTTCATGAAATTGATAAAACATATTTTGGCATCATGATTATTTTAATAATGATAATATATTTTGTTTACTATTTGAATACCAATAGAACCCTTTCGCTGCCAGAGGTTTATTGTTTTATTGATCACCTATTTGCCAGAGGGTTTTCTTAGAAATTACTATATTATTAATTAATATAATTATTATTATTTGTTATTAGTATTATAATAATTATATATGTTTCCAAATCTGTAAGTATAATATTAATCATTTTGTCGATGGTATGATTTTCTTTATATTTATTATTATTTTTATTATTATTATTATCATTTTATTATTATTACTTTTATTATTATAGAAACGGCTATAGCCGTCCATATGGCAAATACGCCGAAAATAGCAGGGACGGCATAAGCCGTCTCTATGGCAGTGAAAGGGTTAATGATGAACCTTAACCTACAGGCACGTTCTTTGGCTTCATTTTAGTCGCAAATGAAGTAACATAACATTGGACGAAAACCTTTCAGTTATCACTTTAATCGGGATATTGAAAATGTTTATAGCAAGTAATGTAAAGCTGTTAAAATTGAAACATACCAAACTGGCAGAGGAAAGGATGAGTTTCTCCGCTGTCTCCAAAAATAAAATTATAACCGCATGGTATGTCGTCCCATTGTCCGTTTTTGTAAGGGATGAATGTAACACAGTCTTCCGTCTTGGAGCTTTCAAAATTTGCTTCATGTCCAGGAATCCAGTTGGTATAATTAACAGCATTTCCTACACACCAAAGATTAAATTTAACTTGATATTAATAAAACAGAATATGATAAAATCCTTTAACCTTTTAAATCTTTAGGTTAATTTCCCATATGACTTATAATGATAAATATATTACATATAAGTATTTGATGTAAATAATTAGTGTAAGAAACCTAAAATTTCACATGTAATCTGCAGGAATGAAACGAACATGCATATAATTGACAATAACAGGTTAACCTGTTGTCCACTCAAACTGTCCCTCAACACTTGTATCATGCAGGCCAATCCAAACAGCATGTTGAGGTGAGTGACGATTCATGAAATACTGGACAAAACCTTGCTCGTCTGCGCTATATATATGTGCCAAATGACCGCCGCGGCTTTTACACATACTTTCACCATGCTCCCATCTAACCTTTGTGTGTAATATCAATTCGTAGCAACTTCTTCCATATTGGCCAAGAGCTGCACTGTCACGGAGGGCAGCCGATTGTACGCTTGCAGAACACATATTCGTATTGCCTTGAAAGGAGTACAGACGTAAAACAATTACGTACGTAGCTGTTGATTTTTCCTTGCATATTGAATCATTTAAAGGTATTTAGTAGTGAAACTGTAACTTTTTTAATCTTATATTAATTTAGCTAATAAAATATATCTATATGTGGAAATGTTTTGTTTAATGTTAAATCGGTGTTCTGGTGGTTGGGTTGTGGATATTAGACTGCCGTGTTGGGCTTTCTTTAGGGATTCTTATTTCTCTCTATTTAGCAAATGACGTCCATCAACAGACATATAAACGCTGAAAGAAAAATCTATATATCAACATAAAACAAACCGTCTGTATAGGATCCTGTAGGAGGGGTTATCACTACATAATTGGCGCCATAAACTTCGTCTATAATATAAAGGCATTTAAATAGACTATCACACTACTTGTTTTTGCATCATCCTATACTATTATTATTATCGTTATTATTGTTATTATTATTATTATCATTATTATTATTATTATCATTTTCTGTTCAAACCATTACCTCAATCATTTCTAAATGAACAAAATTCCATGGTATTTGTAATTGGTTAAACAATCTAATATAATTCTATAAAATGCTTTGTTTGGGGAAAATGTAAATATAAATTATTTTTAAAAGCATTAAATAAAACAATTTTGATAACACTGCATTACTCACCATATTCGCAAATATATGCATATCTATCTAGACAGTCCATATCCTCCCAGGTACCCGTTAGTGGTCCCATGGCAACACAGTCTTCTATATTATGAAAAAATATATCTTTCCTGCCAGCGTGCCAATTAAGATAAGCAACAGGTTCTCCTGTAATGTATATACAGTAAGTTGATAGCGATTACTCAAAACATGAATAGATATGAAACAAAGTTACCAAGCTCGTAGATAATAACCAACAACGCCCATCATAATGATATATCTTTATTCATGTACTCATTCAAAATATTTATTGATGCTTTAAGTGTATTGGTCTAAAATAGAAGGTATGTAATCCAATAGATAATTACGTTGATGGCACTTAGTATCAGCCTAGAAATAATTATATATCGTTGAAGTATTTGCAAGTATTAGATGCATGACCCAATATTTCATATATTTGTGTAGCAGGTAATTAAATGTTAGAACAAAAGACTGTTATTTCTGATATAAATATTCATATTAAAATATTGAGAGCCACATCAACATATTTTAAAGAAACGAAAATAAGAAAATTTACTTTAAATGTATTGCTCAAGCAATAGCATCATTCCAAATGATTTAACCCTTTACCTCATATATACGCGAAACAACGCACTTTCTACCCTCCCCCCTTTTTTTAGACCTCAAATAGTGAAAAAAATGTCCTATTTGGGCCCCAATCACATGTTTAAGTTTGAGAAATGTTGCTAAAAAAGAGCACTTTTTCGGCGCCGCCCCCCACCCCCATCCAAAAGATACATCAGGGGGTTGGCAGAAGGGGGGTGTGCCTCCTTCTGTTAGGGGGGGGGTTTGAAGGGGGGCGGAGTCCCCCTCATCGCCAAGAAAATTTTGGACTTGTGAGAGGCTAAAAATGACCCCAGGTCGATCAAAATGTAACGTGTAACCAACGCTGAAAAGCCTTTGACTCTATCTCAATCCTTTGAGAAGTTGCAGCACTTTGAAATAAATTTTGATGGAAAAAATCGAGGCAAAATAGTGATTTTTGGCAATTTTGAGATGTCCCCTCGTTGCCATGGTAACAGGAAATTTAAGACTGAGCATATCGTTACAAAGGCAATGGTCCAGTCAAATTTGTGCCAAGTTTGATTAGTATTGAAGCATTTTTCATAGTTTCATAGCAGTTTGAACTTGTAACAGGAGGTTTTTAAGAGAAAACGGCCTTTTTTTACAATATGCTCATGGGGGAAAGGGTTAATAAAAGGATACTTAGGTGGTACCTGAAGCCCATTCGAAAGTTTCCTCTTTATTCATATCATGTAAGCCGATCCATGTGGGATGCCCATATGCTTTTACATATTTATACACAATTTCCTCGTCTAAGGCGTCACCAATTGTTGCTAAATGTCCGCCTTTACTTTTACAATCTCTCTCAGCATACTCCCAGCTGTGAACAGTTGTAACCATTTCATAACATTTTTGGTCATTCTTGTTGATAAATAATGTTCCACTTTCCTGAGCAGCGCTTTGTTGAACTATCATTGGACAGCCTAATTCCCCTCCTGAGTATAAACCCAAATAATAATTGGCATTTTGAAAGATTGTGAAACATTGTTGTTTTAAATAAAATAAGTTAGCAATTCAAACTTTTTTAAATACACAATTATACGACATATTCTCTTAGGTGAAATATCAAACAATCGCAAAATCTGAAAATGTTTCATACACTGACCCTAACACAGTTGACCTTAACACAGTTATGGAATTAAACTCATGAAAAATCATTTAAGCATAAATGTGTCCAAAATACAGACAATGTTAGTATTTTTTTCTACATATTGTATTAATATTGTTAATTGCATATATTAGTTCTCGCCTAATTCACCTCAACTGAAGTCGTTTTGATTGAAATTCATTAGAGAATTATAGAAAACCGTACTAGTTACAGAAGATGATAACATCATTTAAAGAAATTATGACCGTACTTTAATAAATATTTCTTAATGTTATGTGATTCTCAATTTTGGCCACGTGAACGTCAATTCTGTCATATTCGATGCGGAATAAATTTATGTATATGAACCTGTTGTATTTCCGTTGTCAGTTGTTACTGTAATAGATGCTACAGTAGTTGTGGGATTAGGTGATGTTGTCGTAAGCATCACTGCTGTCTCTGAAGTTGTTGCTAAATGTGTTGTTGACTTTACTGCTGTCGTTGTTGTTGACATAACTGCCGCCGTTGATGTCGATACCTTTGTGGACATGGAAGTCTGTACATAGGTTGTAGTTGAATGTACACTTGGTGAGGTTGATGTTTGTACATTGGGAGCAGACAATGTCGTCACTAATTAATAAATATGATATGTATAACATTACAAAAATGGCAAAGGGGTGATCTTTCTGAAGCAGTGAAAACAACAATATTTTATGAAAAATACAGACTCAGTTTTGTAAAGCCTGTTTATAAAAGATAATGAAAAGGTGTAACGTCTCTCAAGCCACATTGCTAGCGTGCAAGAATCAATGATCCCGAAGGACCAGAAACAATATGACAACAAAGTTATTTACATACTACAATTTATTATCTTATGTCTTCTATCGATAATGTCAAATTTTCTTTTAAATTTTCTAAATTATTAGTTTTATGATCCAAATATGCATGATTGTGAAATATTCATTTATCACAAAGTATTCAATGTGTGTAATAATGTACATTACAATCAGGAAGTCAAAACGTTATTTGTATAAAGTATACTGTGGGGTTAAAATTTGAAAGTATAAATTAGCATTTGATAAAATTTACATCTGTCATCCGGAGATACTTCGCCTGGGCAAACTTGGACTTTTGTATGGTCATCTGTTTTAACAAAGCCTGTCTGAAAAAAATATATGACTAAGGTGTTTATAAACAAGAGAATGTGTTGAAGTAAATCTAAATGAAATGGCTTATGTGATACTAGTAATGTTTTCCTGTTCTATCCTTAAGATACAAAGTAGAGTACATGAACTTAAATTTGTCATTCTGATATATCAAACTTTCCATTTAAAATTCCTTCCAGAATTCTGCCCATTGTTTTATCGCTTTTGGCCAAAGCACATCACATTCAATGCATTTCGTGTGCAATGTTCCATGATCAATAACGTATGTACACATCTGCAAATGTGTTTTGATCCAAAATAAACATATCTTTTATAATTCGATTTTGAGTAATGTCTAAGCGATTTCTAGTAGACATGAACGGTAGCTTGTACCTTCCTCTGCCGTCCATTAACAGGCTCAGTCAAAATGAGCCTACAATATTAACAATGACTATATGCTGATGACTTTTTATATGACATAGCTATAGAATAGCAATGCATAATTAATGGTGCATTATACATAATACGCGTTGTAAAGATCAGAAACAAATTTAAAAATTCATATACCTGGTGTTCATAGGCAATCACTGTCCACTCGGCTGGTGCTAAAGACTTGCTTAAAGTTGGTTTACAGTCAAACTCGTACAAGTAGCCAATTGGTTGGCTTTGTTCTGAGGCCTACATATAAGGAAAAATATTTAAATTTCCGAAACGTATTGTATAATAAGTCTAAAGTGAGGAAGAAAATATGTACATGATATTTTAGTCGTTGGTACTACTGAATTTCTTTTGTACGGCGATAAATGTGTCGTTTAGTATGCCGCCGTAAATTTCACTTATTATTCAAATAGCGCTTCTTATGTGTTATTTTTATTGTTTCTGTTGTTCCATATTGGGACTATTTGAACTCGTTATTTTTAATCATATATTGACCACGTCTTCGTTGTCCTAATTAGAAAGTCAAATTGTACGTTGTTTGTTTTCAGCGCGTTATTGACACTGTCGTTCTGTGGCTTACTTACCGACTACTCATCCATCTATAAACATATAAAGTACACGTAAATGGCATATTAATTCATATTGTCAATTATTGAAAAACATTTAAAAATGTCCACTTACCGATGCGAGGACACTTTTTTCCACATTGTAATTACATAAACAATCAAAGTCCGCCCTAACGTATGCACCAATCAAAGACATATAAACAAAATATTTGAAAATCATAATGGTTAGTCCAAGTCAATATAAATAGGAAAATGTGCATACAATGTCGTGAATTTTGAAATACTACAGGTTCAAACTAGCCTTATCAATTTTTTGTTGAAACATAGACGTAAATTAAAATAACTCAATGATGGATAAATGATAGATAAGATCAAAATAAGACATGACTTACACGTATTTGACATATATATATTCCCTAGGTTATCTTAACATGGCTCTTTCACTGGAGAATACATTTTATTTACGATCCAGCCAGGATCTTTTTTAAAAATATTAACGTGTATACATGTGCTATGTACTTGTTCTATTCCATTATCTTATGCAACTTAAGTCTTTCCAACAACAGAATCAAAGTTATTATAAAACAATACCAATAATTTTCTTATACACTTGCGTATATACAAAGTCATGGAACACCGTTTTATGATTTTTACTTGCCAGAAAATAGCATCTTTAATCTGAGAAAATTAAAAATGATGTCCCTTTGTAAGCAGAACAAAAATGCTAAGATAACGTGAAATTTGTTGTACACACAAAAATATTCTGATACATATAAAATGTGAGTACGAATATAACAAATGGTAGATTTTTATGACTTATAAAGTTTTTTTGACCCACTGCACTAGCATAAAATTGTAAATGTTCTTCAATAATTTTGCAACATTACTCTTCTTCTGTCAATGTACCAACAACAAAGGGGCCCAACTATGGGGGTTACGGGCCTACAAAAGCGTTCATTGACGTGGTTATCATCTGTCGTCATGCGCGTATAAATGACCAGTTCCCTTGCATGGCTAAAACACAAACGTTATAAACTTTGTACGGGATCTCTGCTCATCTTATAGAGAATTAGTTACCTATATCAAATTTCGAGTTGTAAGCTTCAGTAATCGGAGACAGATGCAAAAACTTTTTTTCATTATCGAGATCAAACTATAAAGGCGTTAGCACACAAAACAGGGCGTTAAAGGCCTTTAAATTTGAACTTGTCCTTATTCAGAGACGATCTCTGGAAGAATTTTGTTTCTTAAACCAGTTGGCCACATATATTAGAAATTCTGATAAAAATGTACTGTGCAATAGTATAAAGAAGAATATATATCATATCAAAAGTTACAGGGATATGGTTAAGTAAACAAACTATCACTCTTTTCCGAAACTGTTCCCCAGACGCGATGATACATAAACAAATAATTTTTATGGATAATTGCATTTTGCAGATTAAGTAAAGCTGCAGATAAATACTCGTAAATGTCGTAGAACGGTTTTAGACTTGTATGAGCATATCGGCATTATCCCATTGGAAATGAATCTGTCTGACACGTCTTGAAACTATCAAAAAAATAATATAGTTCGTATTCCGGTCATTTTTTTGCCTTTTTAGGTATTTTATCTTTTGTTATCTGAGTTAAAATATTTTATGATTCATTATTTCCTATGTTATTGACATACTATTTGACGTTGTCAGTTCGGGTTTTGTATGCTCCTACTCTGTACTGGGTTGCGATTTGTTAACCGATTTTTGTTTTATGTTGATATTGCAAATGTGATAACGAGAATTATTTTTTTATCATTATGATATTTCAAACGATGTACGCTTAAAATATCATATTTAGATAGACGCTTAAAATATCATATAAGTTTAAATACCAATACAGCAAATTGACGTGGAAAAATAGAAACAAAGACAACATTGCAAGTAGCACAATTTTTATTAACATGTCGCTAGATAACATATTGTTTCTTTCTGAGTCTATTTTACCCAAGAGCTTGTTGAACTATCGGCAAGTCTGCAATAGATTTAAAATCACATTTAATCAGATATTACAAAGACAAAAAAAATGTTAAACGAAATATGATATATATAAATCAAAACCAACTAAAGGCTTATGTATGTCGATGTTACTTCGTTTCAATGAATGTACACCTTTAAAATGTGCTTTGCTGAGGTTAGTATTATTATCATATTCAATCTCATGAAATCTTTACTGACTCTCCTTCTTAGCCTTTCGCCAGATTGGTACGGAGCAAGAGCGACAAACAATGCGATTGATTCAGATTCGGCATCTTATACAATTTCTCATTTTTAAAGTATATATTGCATACTTAAGAGGGAAAAGAACTGATGAATACTGTATGCACAACAAATTGTGTCAGTACAGCAAAACCCTAAATTACTAAACTAAGTATTATTTTTTTTTACTTTTGATTAATTTATTGCACAGAGCCACGTTCAAAAACAATACTACAAAATCATTTTATGAATCGAAATCCAATTATCTTTCAAATGACATACCATATTGACAAATTACAGGATGAACTTCTCCGAGGTCATGGTCGATGAGCTTGATGCTTTCCCCACAGTGAATGTCATCCCATTTGCCATCTTTATACGGTACAAATGCAACACAATCTTCGTAACCATGTGCGCCAAAATTATTCAAATGATCAGGGACCCAATTTGTGTAACTAACACTGCTTCCTGTAATGAAGTACACATGTATAGCTATTGTTTGTTATTGCATCATCTCATAATTAATGTTTGCTGTCATACGTATGCCTATATAAAAGATTCAATATTTTAGATTTGATCGTCGAAAAGTATGTGGTATGTCTCTACACCTTCTTCAAAGGGTGTCCAGGTAAGTATTTTACAGTGCACTTACATCTACATTGTATTATGTGACGTGCGAATGTTATGGGGCAACAGTACTAACACGTATCAAGTCAGCCCATTTCAGGTTACCCAGCGCAAAATATGATAAACAAGGTCAACAAGAATAGGCGGCGACAAAAAAGCTCCACTACATGTATTACATGGCCTAGTTAATCTCTACTTTAATTACTGATCTTAAACTCCTATCTTCTATTGACTGGCCAGATAAATTGTGATGGATATATCATAACAGTAGGTATGTTTATCCAGTACAAACCTCCCAAAACAAAGGCTCCACAATTACATAGGATATATCTTTACTTTTATCGCTGATCTTAAACGTATATCTTCTACTCACAGGTCGATAAATCGTGACTTAACGATACAGAGATTCACTCACCACGTTTCTAAATTTATCATACCTGACGTCCATTCGAAATGGTTTTCTATTTTTGTGTCATGAAGACCAATCCAGACCGCATGCCTAGAAGAATAGCGACTTAAGAAATAATGCACAAATCCTTGCTCGTCTGCATCAATGATATATGCAAGGTGACCGCCACGCTGTACACACACCTGTTCTCCATGTGACCAGCTTACTCGATAATTTGGTATCAGCTCATAACAACTGGATTTATATTGTCCAAGTACTGAATTATCTTTCATTGATGCAGATTGGACGTTTGCTGGGCATTGAGTAGTATTCCCTGGTATAAAGGTTTCAAACAAAATGTGTAACATGTTAAATAGATAGGGCACGGGTACACCCTGTTCTTTATCATTCAATGATTTATTGCAGGGGCTAGTGATTCTTTTAATATGCAATTTTACTAATTTTTTTGACGTTGTTTCTCCTTCTAAGGTGTTAACCTCGATTTTACCTTTGAATATTTTGATTCAATTTTTGGCATTTATAAAGATGCATTTCAAAAAAAAGGATAAAATTTATAGATATTATTTTCTACATATTTTCTACG